TTACTGGTCTGGGCGTGATGTGTATGTGAAATTGAGTGTTTGTAATCGCACCCACGACACAGGAGAAAATCCTAGTGTGGTGCAAAGTATTAAAAAAAATTGCATCATCGGTCTTATGGACGAAGTTTGATAAGGAAGAATATATGTTTTATATCCATTCTTCCTTATCAAACTTCGTCTTATAACAAAGCAAAAGGGCTGTTGTTCTATTCATGTATAACCAATTGATAGAGATAAAGCAGTCAAGAAAGTCGACGTAACATATAATATTGCGTTAAGTAACGACTGATGATGTTAAGTCCGGCTCCCTCAGCCAATGTTTCCCAGAAGTTCGCCAGTAGAGTACATGGTTTTGTCGCCCATTCAATTGAGACCTCTTTGTTTAAGCAGCTTCTGATAGTTTAACTAGTCGAGATTTGATTGGGCAGGATAAGCTGCGGTTGATACGAGTTGACGACGCCAGGTGTCGTCTATTTGTTCTTTAACACAAAACGATAATAATACATATGAATAATGTATATAAACACCCTAAAAGGTGTGTATGAAATGTATGTAAGTACAATACGAGGGCTATCCGTATGCAATACAAGTTCAACCGTGTAACGTTATTTCTTTTTTATTAAAAGATAGGGTGGCACATAACATCAAGGAATTGGAAGTGTTTTCTGATAGCCTCCTCGGGGGTTAGAGGATTTGGGTAACCTCACTTACACAGCGTAACAAAACGCAAGCGTTGTATCACGCTCGTTTTGATTTTAACACACCGTATTTGAGGCCGTGGTTAACTACGTTTTTGTGTCATTTGAGTCCCCGAGTAACATTTGACTCGGATCGGATCGATGGGAAATTTTTATGACGGTGTCTTGAAGAATCCTACCAATTTTCAGCTTAATGGGGATTATTTTTAACCTCGAAGTTTAAATTGACCGGAATACACGGCCCATCATAGATATCATGTGGGGCACGATCCAAGATAAACAATAGTTTACACTACTTGTTAATTCTTTTAAGATTCTTGCATGAGCTTAGGATAGGGTTAGATAGTCTCTCAAATTAATCAATCAATTTTGTTTCTAAGCAACACTCCATATCTATGCAGTAACTGATAGATGTTTATTCACTCGAAGATAGTAATCATTCGTTGTAGGCGATAGTCAACCTCCTTTGCGCAATCTTGTATACTTTAAGTTACGGGGTAATTTATTGGTATTTTTGTAGGTAACTATTAATATAGTTGATAAACACAAATGTGTGTATCCCAGTATGTGGCAAAGTCCGCGTGGCGGCGCTCCAGGTATCGATCCGGTTGCATCGGCTCATAAAGGGCCGCGCCGCCGCCCGCCGCCGCGCGCCGCCCTGCGCTCCCCTGGCCGCGTCGGTACGCCGCGCCGGCTGCCGGCCGGCATGTTCTTCTTGTTTACAAAGATCGACTGTGCAAGTTGCAAGTCGCATTGTCTACACTCAATAGTCAGTACAAATCAATTTAGTCACATACATTCGATAGAATCAGTCAGTACATTATGGTTTTTTATGTCTTAAGTCGGGAAACAAGCAGATGGATTACCTGATGGTAAGCAACGTGGACACTCGTAATACCAAAGGAGTTACTACCATGGCGTAGCCGGTCTCTTTTAGATTATTGGGGATTAAGGGATAGGGAAGAAGAGGTGAAGGAGAAGGTCCTTATAAAACAGATTTTAGAAAAGTTAGGTAAACACAGGGAAATAGCAATTGAGGTTTGAGGATAGGGGGGAAGTGTTCGTTCTCCGGTAACTTCACTCGACGACTTCGAGAACTGAGAAACGCTCTTCTAATTTCAAGCCACAACGAGGTTCATGAGCAGAGTGCGTGTCGCGGCGACGTCGCGCAGCCGACGCGTGCACGCAAGTTTGAGCTTTTCTCAATTGACTCAAGTTAGTAGGTCGTTATTTTAAATTCATTTTGTATGTCTCACGAGAAAATCTGGGCGAAAAAAGTCATTACATTAATTTCCACAAAAAAGTAGATCTTAGACTAGAAAAATATATTATAGCAGCAGTAAGGAAAGCCAAGCCACTCCTCAAAGCGCCTCTGGCTTTGAGGAGAGCTTGAGGGACGCCACGGCGTCCTCATCTTCCGCCTGACGCAGCTGCTTACCGGGCACGGCAGTTTCGGTAGGTTCCTGTTTCGGATCCAGCGGTAGGAAACGCCCCAGTGTCGCCATTGTCAGGACCACCTAGAGGATACGGTGGCGGAGTGCCCTGCTTTGGGCTGAGCACCGCTGTGTCCTCGGGGAATTGATCAGTGGCGGCGACCTCTCGTGCCCGGCCTTAGTCGAGGCCATGCATGGTTCGAAGCGAGCGGAACTGGGAAGCCGTCTCTTCTTTCTGCGAAGCAGTCATATGCTCGCGAAGGAGGGGGCGGAGCGTGTGAGGGAACTATCCTCCTCGCGCCCCAGCCGCCGCAGTAGGCGACATTCCGGGCCATGATCTCCGGCCACCGCAAGCGCGGGTCTGCGGACGGTGAGTAAGGGTAGCTCGCCGCCCGACCAGAACCAGACCCGAGCGTACGGCGCATAGCGTTCCGCACGCCTCAAAGAGCCAACGGACCACCACAGACGGGGCCCTATAGGGCTGATGTTCAGCCGGGGTTGCGGGGTAAGCGCAATGAGTCACCGCGGCCTCGGCCCAGAGCAGGAGAAGGAACGGGGGTGTTTTTAGGCAGTAAGAGTCTGACACTGTCTCTCGCCTTACCCTGGGCGGGAGAAGTCATTTAATGATTTTCCCCTGAAAAAAAAAGACTAGAAAAATATAAAAAAACTATTATATGCATATATGCATAAATATAAAAAAACCTGTAATGAAATTGTGATTTGGTATTGTTAATTTTATTGCACTGAGAAGTCGAAATAATTTGAACATGTTTCTAGGGGGAAAGTTGTCGTCATGTAGTACCTATGTATAAATACTGACGCTCAACATGTATTCTATTCCGACGCGAAGTGTTCTTGAAAACCTTTTATTGTAATCAATCGAGGTCTGCGTCGGGAGAGTGCTTGTGTGGGTCTGAGAGCTCTAGACTCGGAGAGCGCGGCCCTTCTGCTCTTGTAACAATATCGCGATATAATGAGCTGCTCGGCCGACCGCTGCTGCCGCCCTTCCCCGTCACAGGACCAACAAGTGGCTCTTGACTTATTTCTTAAAAAATTTTGATATGACAAAACAAAACTTTACAGAGCGCTGTGGGTATTTGTGTACTGTAGAATGTATGTAGTAATCATCCGTTTCTTCCACAAGTGTGTGCCTACTTTGTAAGTATATTAGGATTTATTCATATTAAAATTTTACTTCAATAATGTACAGGGAGGAAAATTCCTTGTTGATTGTGCCAAATGGGCTCATCATGGTTAAAGTATCTCTCGTTTTGTCACTACACTGAGACTTGTATTGTGGTAAGTGTGTATTAGTGTATGAACGTCTGAATAGTCCATCAGTTATTATTTTGGCAGTGGAAATATTGGCTGTCGAGGTCGCCGCTGATAGTGTTGAACATTGAATTCATGAAGCGCGCGTTAATTAGTGGTTACAGCATAGCCTCAGTGAGGTACGCAGCGCCGGATTATGTGTGGCGAAGCAGTTAGGGCGGGCAGCAGAGCGAGGCGCATGCGCACGGCCAAGGTCCTTACATCATGCACACGCAACCTTACATCAAAATGTGGAGTTGTATTTAGGTTAACATTAACAAATACATCATTTGGTGTCAAAATAAAACACTATTTTCCCTTGCTATAATTGAGTGTTTGACAAGCCATTATCCCCATTTTATTAATTAAATCAAATGGGGATAATAGTTATTAGTCAATCATAAATTATTTCCGCTTACTTATGTATTAAAGTATCTAAAAATAACAATGATCTCGTTGACTGATTTAATTTTAGGCTTAGCTTCAGTATTTCTTTGGTAAATGAATATTGTACATGACGCAGAAGATCATGACATCACAATTTTGTAATGTTATATTTAAAGAAAAATAATGAATTTGCAGTTGACGTCATAATTATGCAATACTTCTTGTTTTAACTCCCCAACCTGATTTGAATTTTGTAGAGATTTGCTGTGACTTCATACACGAAAAAAGTACCCCACTCATTATTGTATCTATTATTAGTTAGGTACATGTATCATTTTTCATAACCGATATGTCTTGTTTAGGAATGTAATAATGTAATGTTTATATATGTATTAAAACATTGCTAAAATATTAGTCCCTAATAAACAGCAAAAACTGCGACTCCGTGTGTTTAGCAAGTTCAGTTGTAAGTTGGTGACGGTAATGACAGGCGGAGACGTAGTGAGTGTTAGCTGTAAAGCAGGAAGTATGTTGACCCTGTGCCGGAGGCTGGGCGCCGGCGCAGCGGTGCGCGGACAAGATCACTGCACTCGTTGTGACACGCATGCGACGCCGCCCGCGCGCTGTGACCATGTCACTCCGCACCGGAACTAATGACACCTCTTACACGGGATCTACTCACTATCATTACACTCGTTGATTACTTTACCCACAGTAATGGCAGCGTTTATTTCATTTATTTTGTCGCTGAACGTTCGTTTAAAGTAGGACAACTGCCTCCAAGTTTGATTAAACTGATCGTAACAGTGCATTCGTTACCAGACTAATAAATTGGTCTAACTAAACAGGCCATTGTATTCATAAATGTACGAATACATTTTAAGCCTTATTGCTCCTAGAATAAGTTTTTATTTTGAACAGCCCGATCGTTTAAGGGCCATATTATGATTCTGGTGCTCGATTAGCTACAATTGAAGAATGAATGTAGCACTGGACAGTCGCGGATACCTACTCATATATCATATTTAAGGCACAGGTCGACAATGTAATAATGAAATTGTATAAATAAAAGTATGACGTATTAGGTAAAATGGAGAAATTTTGAAATGATTGTAACAGATTTTCTTGGCATTTGAGTAGTATAAAAGTAATAAGTTGTGGTTTGTTGCAGGCATAGTGACGGTGTCGGACTTCCACGTGTACGTGGCGCCGCTGAAGGAGGAGTGGCGGCCGTTGCTGGCGCACTACGCGGGCCCCGTCGCCGTCGTCGTCGTCGCCGCGCTGCTCATCGTCGTGCTGCCGCTGTCCGGGTACACTGACTCACCACTACCGCCGGCTAGCTGCGCGCTGTCTGAGTATTGAGCCGAGCCTCACGGTGTTGCAGGCTGTTCTGGTGCTGCTGCTACTGGTGCCGCGTGGGCCGGCGCCGGCGACCCTTCGACCGCAAGTACGACGCCTGCCTCAAAGGACTGCTCGCCATCATACTCATCGCCTTGCTCACTCTCTTCTTGTAAGTTCTTGTCTTCGCACAGTGTCATATTTCGCCTATACCAGGCTAGCTTGCTATTTTGGGGAAAAAATTTGATGATAGTCTGTTTACTTTATGTAGGTAGGTACATAAAGATATATTGTTTTTATACCAGTTAGTGTGGCTACGATCATTTAACATTTCAAGGCAACATTGAAATATTAAAGTGTCATTTTACCTTGAAGTAGCTAGCTTCATATTGCCAGTGTGTGAAGCAAACGGCAAACGCCACTCGTGTTTGTTCTAGCAACACAGTTTCACACAACACAATACGTGTGTGTGAAACCTGGAAGTGGACGAAGATAAGGGTTTTTTTGCGTGTGAAAAATGATATCGTTTTCTTAAACGATAATGTTTATCATAATTAAGCACTGATTGTTCTCGCTTACCAATACGGAACAAAAATAACTATTGTTATACCATTACATAAATATGATTGAACAAAAGTAACTGATAAATATTCAAACTAAAATGACAAACATTTCTCTCTGAAACAGTTATTTAAAATACCATACAGTTAAACAATCTTTTGTTTTCAATCGTAAGCCCAGTATTGACTGTACGTGCCCAGCACCAGCTAACTGTCCGTACTTGTGTACGTCCCGACAGTAAGCTAAAAAGCTGTGTGTATGAGTAAGTATGTGGGTATGTGATACCTTCTGTAAAATAAGGTTTCTAGTGGTAAAAATAGTGGTGCGGATTTCTAGTGATGTTCCCAACCAAATCATAACGCGATTTCTCTCTATTCCATCCTTTATAGCTAGTCTATAAACAATTTTTATTTGGTTCGGTAATAAGCAGCAGTTGGTAGTTTAGTGGCAAGTGTTGTATGCGTGTGTAAGAAGGAATGCGCGGCGCAGGTTCGGCGTGGTGTGTGCGTTCGCGACGGAGTCGCAGGTGGAGTCGGGCGCGGCCGAGCTGTCGCAGTCGCTGGAGGCCGGCATCAACGACACCAAGGAGTTCCTCAACGCCACGCAGGCGCACGCGCGCTGGCTGCTCGTCAACAACTTCGACGAACTCAAAGTCAAACTCAACTCTATGCTTTACGGTAACTATACAAGCTCACACACTGTATCTACTGATACTTTGTGCGATACATGAAGAGTTGCACTATTTTGCCCGACTGTATATTTGAGTAGACGCAAACAGAATAAAATAGCGTATTATTGTACGTGGCACAGGTATAGGCGTGACGGCGTCGGTGAAGCTGGGCGAGTTTTCGCGCGCGGTGTCGGTGACGACGCTGAACAAGATGGTGCAGCAGCTGGACGAGGTGCAGGCCAACCTGCGCACCGTGCATGTACTCACCGCACAGCTGCGCCTCAAGGCGGACCATCTCAACACAGGTACACACACATACACATACACATATAAACACACACACACACACATCACTCAATACTAATACTTACACTTAAATGTGCGACCCGAGCTTAAGGCTTCTCATTCACGGGGTTCGAAACCGGGCAAACACCAATGTGACTTTTTCCGAGTTATATGTACTTTCTATGATTATTTAGACAACAATCGTCAGTATCGTGAGGAACCTGAACTTATAATTTCTAATTATAAGTTTGAAATGGCCAACCCTCACTGAGCAAGCGTGGTGATTAATGCTCAAACCTTCTACATGTGAAAAGAGGCCTTTGCTCAGCAGTCCAACATCTATAGGCTGATGATGAAATAACATTTGATTAGTAGTGGTGGGAAAACAAAATACATAAAATTGTTGACTTTCCTGTTTGTCTCACTAATTTAAAAGAAATAAGCAACCTAGATGACGTGGTTTTATAATAAGTACTTATTGCTGTTTTTTACGTTATTTTTGACACATACGAAAAATGTGCAAGTATTGTGAATATTTATGAAATCATAAATTTAATGAAAATGACGTCTCATCTGAATGAACTGAGAAAAGTTTATCGGTTCTTGAGAGTCTAGTTGTGACTTGAAACTAGTACAACTTGCTTTCACGAGTAAGTCGCCATTTGCAATAAATTTTGTATGTCTCGTCACGATAATTACTGAGGAAATAGGAAACAGTCGATTTCATTTCATGTTATCATGTTTGTGCTTTATGTGAAGCAAAACAGGACAATTGTACATAACGCAGCACATTTGTATAGTTTTCCTCTATCTGTAGTGGAATTGAAATATTTATTGAAACTCGTAAAAACCCAAGGCGTATGAAATTAATAAATCTATTAATAATTAAGTGACAATATTTTAAATGATGAATAACCATTTAAAACAATTTAAATACTAGCTTTTGCCCGCGACTCCGTTCGCGCGGAATAGTAACTTCCTGCAGATTTTTGGTATAAAAACTATCCTATGTCCTTTCTCGAGTTCCAAACTATGTCTGTACATACACATACACAAGAAATCGGTAGTTTAGCCGTGAAAAAAAAGACATACAGAGTTACTTTCGCATTTATAATATTAGTTTGGATTTTTAATATGTGTTATGATAACATCATTAGTTTGGAAACAATCAGGAACACCGTGGTGGCTGGTGGCAGATTTGGTCGTTTTTCTTAAGCACATATTATTTGAAACATATTTTTGCCAACAAACCGTGTATAGAGATTTTGAGTCATTCCTTTATAATGTAGATTGAGAATCCAGAGAACTTGCATGTCCTGAAATGATGCATAATAACTTTTGATGCCTAATTACAGGCCTTCGCAAGGTGAAGAACCAGTTGCTGCAGACTCTGGCCAAGTGTGACCAGCCGAAGTGCCGCGCCCTGCAGGACAAGTACAAGATCGGGCAGCTCGACACCGAGATACAGTACAGCCAGGTACCGTAAACCCCCCCCCCCCTCCCCAACTTCCCCCGCGTGTCTATGTCTCTATGTACTAACTCTGTTTGTACACCATGTTGCACGCTCACTCGGACAGATGCTCGACAAATATTTTCCAACTGTAAGTACTTATTAAGATTTATTGTAAATTGTCGTATTGTTTCATAGAGACATCAAACTTTCAGTGAGTTTATAAATAGGTGATTAAGTCATTGTTTCACTAACTGGAGTGTACTTGAGTAGTATCAATGATGATCAGTTGTCCAATCGAATGTTACATGATTCATAAATTCATACGTTTTAGGAATGTCAATTGTTTTTCAAGAGTTACGTGCAATTAATTGAGAATATGATGAAACTAGTGCCCAACGTTAAACTCAACTTTGAATTAGATTAAAGGCATTCTTGAACTTTGCTTCACAAAGATTTAAAAGTAAAAGGGTCAGTTTGTCAGTTAGGCCTCTAGTGAAGCTAGTTGCTCATTCCTAGTGAAAATTCTAATAGGGAACAACTAGCAGAACATTTTTAGATATTAGGCCCAAGTACCTATATTCGAATAGTCCGATTTTATTTTAATTGGTAACAGGAAACTGTGACGTGGGACCCTAATTATAGTTTGTCATCAATTGAAAGAAATGTAGTTCGATTGTCGATTCTTTGTACTTATATTTATATTTAAAGTTAACGATGCGCCATAAGCAAATAATTCCACTCGTTTATGTTGAAATGAATAAGGTGAGTAATTTAAGTAGATCAAACTGAGGAAAGGACCTAATATTGAGCCCTGAGGTACGACCATGGATATTGTAAAACCCTGTGAGTTTTTATATATTTAATTTCATAAATTTAAGCTTTGTATCCTAAAAAATCAAAAATTTTAGTATATTTAGAGTTGCCCCTCATATGCTATACTGTTTTAGTATAAGTAACATTGTCCGTGCTTAAAGCAATCATAAGCCCTTGACAGATTACAAAATAGGTATTTTGTGTTTTTTTATGATGTAAAAAAGGTTTCTAGTTAGGGTTTTATTGTAAGCTTGCGTCAGTAGCATAAAATCGCCTTGCGAAGTATCATTGTGAAAAGCCCAGCTTTTCCAACACCTTACTAAGTGGTATCGGGTGTTGCCACTATCGCCGGATTTAAATAACCAAACTATTTTCTAGAAACTGAAATAGGCTTAGATGGGCAAAACTTACTAGACGTATGTATTTATACTTCTATTACTTATAAGTTTACAAAGTCATTACTATCGATTTTTTGACATTTAGTGAGATGAACTAGCGATTGTTGATGTCTGATTCTGAGTTAGTTTCGTACTGATGTACGTGTAGCGAGAGCGTCCGTGGGAGTAGGTGCGTAGTAAGGTTTGCGCGCGTCGCTTGCAGATGCCGGACGTGACGGAGTTGCTGGGCAACGTGACCGCCCTGCTGGACAGCGACATCAAGGGTGACGTTGCGGCCGGCCAGCAGGTCTTCAGCGACATCCAGCGCGGCATACAGCGCTCCGTCGACAAGCACGTGCCCGAGGTGGCCGAGGGCATCGACGCGCTCGGCCGCCAGCTGAGCGCCGTCGCCGACGACATCTCGTGGCTGGCCGGCAACGCCAGCTTGCGCCTCGAAGCCGCGCGCGGCCCCGCCGCCGCGCCCGCGCGCGCCCACCAGCGCTGGGGCCCCTACCGCCGCGCCGTCGGCCTCGCCACCGCCGCCTCGCTGCTGCTGGTGAGTGCAGACCGCGTCCCGCCACGCCCCTCCCCCTCCCCCTCCCCGTACTACAGCTGGGCTGCCCGCAGATCACGTGCCTGCTGGCGTGGGGCCTGCTGTGCGGCGTGTGCGGCAAGCGGCCCGACGTGTACGGCGCCAGCGACTGCTGCAACAAGGGCCACGGCTCCCGCAGCCTGCTCTGGTACTGTCTCTCTCTATCCGACGTTTCTTTACACGTGTGCAGCCACAACTTGTAACGTTACTCGTTCCCGCAGCGGTATGGGCGCCATGTTCGTGCTGGGCAGCGGCGTGACGATGGTGCTGCTGGTGTACTTCGTGCTGGGGCTGGCCGCGCAGCGCTTCGTCTGCGATCCGCTCACGTGAGGATACACCTCGGATTCCTATCTATTCTCGTAACCATATCACATTATCTTCAGAACCAGTTCCGACGATGAGATGGATTCGTGCACCGTACAGTTTTACATATTAGCATTTATGAAGAAATGTGTAAAAATATTTTATTTTATCTTTTCATGAAAGTATCGTACTTCAATGTTCCTATATTTTGTTCTGATTCCTATGAAACTGATATTGAAAGTGTGAAGAAAATAATGTTAATGCGGAGTAACAATATTGGGCGCGCAGGGAACCGCGCGACAACCGCGTGTTCTCGGACCTGGAGCAGCTGGTAGACCTGGAGGGCACGCTGTTTGGGCAGCACCAGGACCCGGACTTCAACATGACGTACGCACTCGTGCGCTGCCACAAGAACTACACCATCTACGAGGTAAGCGATCAGTGCGGCAGAGGTCGACCCTGCCCCCGCAGGCCCCGGGCTACAAGCGGCGTGTGTGCAGGCGCTGCAGCTGCAGCGAGTGGTGAACGTGTCGGACACGCGCGAGTCGGCGCGCGCGGCGCTGGCGGCGCGACTGGCGCGCCTGCGGCCGCTGCTGCCGCGCGCCGCGCCCGTCACCATCCTGCGCGCGCCCGCAAGGGACAAGCTGCGCCGTCTGGCCGACACCGGCCTCTCCGACTTCGACTTCGAGCGCATCCTGGCCGCGCTGGAGACCAACATGACGTCGCTGGCGCTGGACTCGCTGGCGCGCCAGCTCAACTCCACGGCGCGCAGCCTGCAGCAGCCGCTGTTCCAGGCGGAGGCCGCGTCGCTGCTGCGCGCCTCCGCCGCGCTGTCCGACCTGCTGCACGACGTGCTCGAGCCCATGCTGCAGGACTCCGCGCAGCTCAATGTCAGTATCTCTTTGCAGATGTTCATTGTGTCCATGCAATAATCAGCTCTCTCGTTGCAAACAATACAAATAATCATTGCCCTCAAATTCTTACAAATTACTTATACTTTTTATGTTATAAGTCAGCAAACGAGCAGACGGTTTGCCCATGAACACCCGCAATAACAGAGGAGTTGAAAGTGCATTGCCGACCTTTTGGAAATTAGGGATTGAGAAAAGATTGGAGGAGGGTTAGGAATGGGCTTCCGGTAACCCCACTCACACGGCGAAACATACCGTTGTGGTTGTTTCATTCCGATTTTCTATGAGGCCGTGGCATCAAAGTCAAAGTCAAAGGATTTATTTGCTCTTGAATACAGTTACATAAAAGGTGTTACAATATATCAATAAGTCCAGTATTCAGTCATAAACTAATGACATGCAAATGTTTGATAACAAGTTTTTTATATCTTATTCATTAATAACATTATTTTGGAAACTTATATTGTAAAAAATCTTTTGTAGAGTAGTAAGAATTCTCAATTCATTCAATTCATCATCCACGAAATGCCTTTTGAATCGAGTAATTAGCAACTCTCGAAGTTGGACAGGAAGTTTATTATAAATTTGGATACACATGGGGAAGCAACTACGTTTGTATAGCTCGGTTTTCATACTAGGAAGTCTTAATTGAGTTGTATATCTAGTTTTGAAGTTACAGTAATCTCCCACTTTTTCAAATAGCCCTGGGTGACACTTTGTAAATTTACAGATTTCTTCAATATAAATACAAATAACGGTTAGGATCTTAAGTTTCTTAAATAATGGTTTGCATGATGTAAGTGGGTCCACATTACATATAGCACGTATACATCGTTTCTGAGCAATTAGTGCGTTTTCGATATGTAGCGAGTTGCCCCATACCATAGCGTTACACTGAACCAACATAGGCATGATAAGCCTGTGATGGAGCTTGCCTAGTTGTTAGGCTAGATAATCGCTAGAGAGCATAAGCAAACTTAGCAAGCTTCTCGCATACCTATAACTATACTGAGAAAAGTCATTTTATCAATTTATTGAAGTTGTTGGTCTTTGCGAGTTATGTTCAAATTATGTTTTTCCAGTTTTTGTTGAAAAATTTGATGTACTTAGTTTTGCTATATTAGGTTTTAAGTTATTATTCTCCATCTAACTTATGATTTTGTTGACAGTGTAATTTATTTCTTGGCTGTAATATTCGTTGTTCTTTGATATTATGACTGACACATCATCTGCGAAAAGTATGCAAGGATAATTTGTGACTTCCATTAGGTCATTAATGTTTAATAGGAATAGTAGAGGACCTAGAATACTACCTAGGGGAACGCCTATGGAATTGTAACCCAAGTTAGTTTTACCTATATACAATTTCGCTTTGTTTATTTTTATCTACGCTGATTTCTTCATATTGTGATCGTTTTGAAACATAACTTTTTATCCATCCATTTGCTTTGCCGCGTATTCAATATTTTTCACATTTTTTCAGGAGTAACTCATGAGAAACAAAGTCAAAGGCCTTAGACATATCAAAGAAAATAACAGTTGTTGGTATTTTGCAGTCAATATTTTTAGAAACTTAGTTTATCAAATTATATGCCGCTATCGTTGCAGATTTATTTTTTTGGACTTCACTCCGGTCGATCCGATTTATTCGTGCCGAAGCATCTCTCTCCCAAACTTAAAAATATAATCCCATTATGAGGTCAATATTTATTATAGAATTATTTTCAATTGTATATTTTGAAATCGGTTACAGATCACAGCGACGAAGTTACGTGATGGGTTGAGATTCAACCACTCGTCACTGAAGGACGCCATCACGTACCTGATGCACGAGACTAGCGAGGCCGAGGTGTTCCTGAACACGCAGGGCCCCGCCCGGCTCGAGAACGTAAGTATGGCGGGGCGCGGGGCGGGGGCGGGGGCGCGCGGCGCGGGGCGCGGACTGTAGCAGCGCTGGTTGCAGATGACGGCGGAGCTGGGCGAGGCCATCGCGCGCAAGCTGGAGCAGTACGCGGCGCGGCTGGAGGCGGGCGCGCGGCGCGGCGTGGGGCGCTGCGGGCCGCTGTCGCGCGCCTACAACGCCACGCGGGACGCGGCCTGCCGCAAGCTGCTGCAGCCGGCGCACGGCTACTGGCTGGCGCTGGCCTGGGCGCTGCTGCTGCTGCCGCCGCTGCTGGCCGTCGCGCAGCGTCTCGCGCGCCTCTACCGCAACCTCGACGCCTACCCCGGCCCGCTCGTCGAGGCGTGAGTACCGCATCTACACACTACTCGCCTCTATTCCAATAAATAAACGACATCATTACCCTCGAGAGACGTCGCAGGATGATCCTTCGATGGTTTCACTCTTTGAAAAAAAACCGCCAATTGGAACTACACATTCAAAGACTAGGATAACTAGTTGTCGTGTATACCGGCCATAGTGAGATGTGTATCGTTGTAGTCTACACTACACGTACCATCGGCCGTTGCCCCGCACGACTACACTTTCAATAATCATTAACAATACCTAAACTTGATGCAACTGATCTAGTCTATACAATATTTAAAACTAAATTACTACATGTTCATTCAATATTATGATGTCGACTTGGTTGCATCGAGTTTGGACAGTTGCCTTATACCACATAATGTTTGAAGCGAGCAGTAAAACTAGGCTCGTATTGTTGGTTGTGTCACAGTTATGTTGGTTAGTCCACTACAAGGTGCAATCCAGTACTAGGGTATCACCAAGACTCGTGGCCGGGCATCAAGTACCCGGTGCCCGGCTCCACAGAGTCGATGAGATCATCCACCGCCCATCGACATGTTGTCGAATTGTCTGCAGTACGTCACGCGATGTCCTGCAGGCGATTCCTTACTTGTCACTTATTTTTGTTTCTGTTTCATTTCGATTAATTTTCTGTTTCGATTAATTTACTTTGTTTTTGTTTGATGTGTTAACATTGATTAAGTTGTTATTTACATTGAGTTAGTTGTTGTGTCTGTCGTTTTGTTTGGGTTTGTTGCGCACCCCGTCACGTGCCCTGCGTACTGCCGGCCCGCTACACTAGTCCGCCTGTCGAACCTTTCTATTGGCCTCCCCTTCTGCTGTAGTTGATATTGAACCGATGAAACTCTTCAAAATAAACACGAGCTAATTATTTTGTCTAGTGTTACTGCTTGTTACGGTCCAGTATTGATTGTTTAATGAATTCAGTTTATTTATCTTGGCAAGTAAGCAAGCTTGGTTCCGTTCTTACACTGTAGCTACGTACATGTAACTTCAGTGCGGAGTGCCGTATTTGGTTGGTAATGAGTAGGTACTGCGGTCGGAGAGCTATCGCTGCGTTACCATGCGGGCTTTTACTCGGCTGTAGTCACATAATACCTGGGAAATCTAATAATAGTACATAACTGGGACAGAAGATGAGGTCAGGCTCGCTCAGCAAGGACGTAGCCTGTCCGGAGTAATAGTTTTATTGTAATGTTTTTGTTGGTTTATTCAGTCCACCGCCATGTAAGTAGTCGCGGGTACGGCGGCGGTGTCGCAGCGCGCGGGGCCGGGCGCCGGGCGCGGCCCGCCGTGTTCACTCGAGTGTAGGCCGCGCCACTCGAGCACTGAGTGTACACTCGAGTGAACACTGCCGGCCCGTCTGTCTTGTTGTATGGCCGCTAGCAGGAGTGCGTAGTCCCGAGGTAGGCATGCATCGCTATCGCATCATCGCTTGCAGTCGACGCTCCCGTGGTACCTCGCTACATTTGTAACCCGCAGTGTAATTCAATTAGTGTTCAGTTTTTGTTTGCGATGTTGTAAATATTCCCATTAGATATTGTTTGTGACCGCTGCCGATTCCCACTGGAGACCAGACAGACGTAGTGCGCTCCGAGTGCCCCGAGCTGCCACTACTACTGCTAGTGCCTACCGAGGAACTATGGACCGAGGCGCGCTCCACTCGGGCCGACTCCTCACTCTTACTTTACTTTTAGTTATTCGATTTCGTTTATTTTTTGTTGTATCATCCAGTCACATTCTGCACAAGATATTACATGTTCGAGTAATATATATTCGGTTAGTCTTTGACCACACTATACAGTAACCATGTCGTATACCTAGTTACTTATGTCTAGTTATGACTGTAATATCACACAAGCCCATAAGAGTTATATTTGTGAATGGTAGCGCCATGGTCAGTAATGTAGTTGTGGCGAGTCGCGCGGCGCTCACTGACTGTCTGTTGTCTGTTGCAGCGAGTATTTGTATGACGCGTACGCGGACCGCGATAACGTACCCCTTGCCAAGTAAGTGCCCCCCACCTCCACCCCCGCCCCGCATGCTCCCCTACTCCGGCATGCTAGTCTGCATCATACAGCTTCTTACTTTTGGTTCTTTTCCTACTAACCTTAGTGTGTAACTAGAGTAGTGTAGTGGTGACCGGCCCCGTATTGTAGCACGTAAAGCACGGCGCCAGCATGCTGCATCACTGGGGACGCACAGTAGCGTTATGTTCCGTTGGTTCCGTTATTTTATTTAGTTGTATTATTTTAACGAAGGGTGGCAGGATCTCTGTTGGTATCCGACACACTGGTGGATGTGCCCTTGGTATGTGTGGAAGTGGAGGATGGTACCGGGCAGTGAGTAGTCGCGGCGGAGGCCACACTAACCGTTCCGCGCCAGCGGGTCCAAGCGCAGCACGCTGGACATCGAGGGCAAGATCGCAGAGTGGCGCGAGAGGAGCGCGCCCTCCGCCCCGCCCGAGCCGGGGCCCGGGGGCGCCGGGGGCGCGGGGGGCGCGGGGGGCGCACCCACGCGCCTCTTGCTGGCGGGGGACGACGTGGTGTGCCAGTTGCTGGCGCCCCCCGCGGCGCTGCTGGACGACCTGAAGACGCGGCTGGACGCCAAGGACGAGGACAACGAGTCCGGCATACACGAGTCCGAGTAACCGCAGTCGCGGGCCCCCAGCCTCTACTGCTCGTGTCTCTCGCCCGCGTTCTATACACCTACACCAAACTACTGTTGCTCATACGTCAGGTTACTTTACATGAACGCGTAGCGTAAGGAGACAGACCTCTTGAGGTTTGTGCAGTAGGTATGGAATGACTGGAATACAGCTAAGTAATTAGAACAGCTAGGGCAAGGGCAGGGCAACTTTAGTAAAGCTTTTATTGTATGGCACGTCAGTGGCGGCGTGTGGACCACGATTAGGGCCCTGTCTGCCGACGTAATAATTAATTAATTATTTAATGAGTTCGTTTAAGGATCCCACAGGGTTCATTTTAGCCAACGTAATATGGAGTTTGACCAATTTTTTGTAGTCAGAAATTTATCCGATTTGTCTTCCGTCTTAGCAGTTTTATAAACATTTTACTAATTGACAAACATTCTGAATCTTGTACCATTGTACATCTAATTATTCAATTTAAAAAACTTGGTTTTAGGGACACGTGGACTTGTGGCCACTAATGATGCTGTCCATTTTGTGATTTGATTCATATCGACCCAAATATCAGCACGTAACTGTAATATATAATATCGTTATCTGTATGTCCGTATGTATATTTATAGCATAGCTAGGCTTCGCTTCGCAGCGATCGTTACGAACGAGAACGTCCATTCGTTAAGAATACAACCGCTTCTGCCTCGTCCCAATATTAGGCTTTTCTTTCACAAACATTGACCTTTACCTACTGTTTGAGCTAATCCAGCACCAAGGGTGGAATAGGGCCAATGTTTGTACAAGCTGAATCTGTATACTATCGCAACGCTAGTACAAGGAACAATGATCTCTATTTTGTATGTGTCGTACTGTAGCGAATAGTATAGCGTGCAGCGCCTAGTTTTGATACTCTGCGTAGTGTCCCCGCGGCCGGCCACTGCCCGACCTAGTCGGCCTGTCCGCAGACGGCGCGGGGCCGGACGCCCAGCTAGTTGTTGCTCTCTACACACACACCAAACCGCGCTTTTGCAAAAAGCACGTTTCGCGTAACAAGTAGATAGAAGTATCAAATTTAATAATAATTATTGTTGAAACATTTTGATATTGTCAACTTCTCTTTATGTATTTTGATAAAATATTATATTCGGTAAGTTTTTATAAAGAAACATTACCCTTTAAGAAACATTTTACTCGAGCGTATTGTTACGTGTTTTACTCTAGAAATATTAACGGATTTTTATATTAAACGATAATACATTGCATAAGACTATATAATGGGAACGTGCGCACTGCAGTGAATTGACTTGCCTAGAGTTATAGTCGTTGTATTGGTACAACCCGCGGGCACCGGCACCGCTTCCAGTCTTCCACTAGCAGTACCGACGTGACTCCGCAGTGCCCAGACTCCCTCCTGCAGGACATTCCCAATAAGCCACAGGCAGAAGGCAGCGGATGTCGGCCGCCACTCCTCTCATATCAATACTGAGTATCGTCCTCCAGTTAGTACTAGGTAACGTAACTTTGTAGGTAGGGTATCGTACATATCGATGTTTTTACATTTGTATCTAGGCAGTAAGGCGACAGAGTAGCCGTGTAAGTAGGCAGTAAGTACAGGGGCCCCCGCGACTGCGGCGACTCGGCGCCGGGGCTCGGACTCGCCACGGTAACTCCACTCTCCCCGGATTGTTGTTGCTTTATTCTTGAATGATTACTTTGTAAGATAATTGTATCTCCACCGGGATGTAGTCTCCCCACATCGCGGTGGACCCCAGCTGGTTGAACCTCTTATATAGTGAATGCGACAACGTTAAATATATTCTTTTCATTTTGTTATTTTCTTTTGCTGGGTGGATCTTCGTTATATGTATAAAGTGTACACATGTACCGATTACTTGTTCGTTGAGTAACCACTGACTCACCCGCAACTTGCACAGTAGTCACCAGATGTCGCTACATACGATCTCTATTGGAGTGTGCGTGTCGGTACGTTTGTACGCTGCCTAGGTATATAAGATCTTCATTCGCTTTGCATCTTAACAACAAGTCTCTGTTTAGTTGGCACTGGATACCTCATAACGAATTTATGGTAAATGATTGTGTTATAGCTCGTTCCGTTACTTACAGCATGACCCATTCAGTTACTCATGTCACAGCTTTAACTTAGCTTCGCTTATATATATATATGTTTGTGTGTGTATGTGTGTAATAGACATGCATCAACCTTTTCTTTTTATTTATCTCACTTAAATTGTAACTCTGCATGAAAATTTATTCTCACACAATATATCAATCAAAATTATAATATTAGGTCTTTACCTGTGATACTATTTCTGAAGTTTAATAGAAACAGCTTGTAATGAAAAAAATAATAATTTATAAAAAGTATGTTACAAAATTCAATAAATGTAAAATTAGAATCGGTAAGTGTGTCCGGCATAATTACGGTAACTGGCACACTGCACGGCGCTCGTAACATACCCGGCGGCCGGCACATAAAACAATACATTACATACGGCCTGCTCACATGAATCTATGAGTCTTGAGCCACATCGGCTGTTCTAATTATGTCACAGTTAAAAAGAATGTACAGACAGTCAGTGGCCGAGTAGCAATGGCACAGGTAAAGGCCTATTATTATAGCAGTTAGCGTTTCTGTTTGATTGTATGATGCCTTGCTAACGTTAATGCGTGTTGTAGCGCATACAAGGCAGAGAAGCGAAGCGGGCGCGAGCCGCGAGACGGGCGCGAGGCCCGCGAGTCGCGCGAGTCGCGCGAGCCGAGGGACGCGCGCGCCGCGCGGGCCCGCGCCGCAGCGCCGCTGGACGCGCGCGCGCCCCGCGCTGACGCCGCCCTGGCGCCGCCTCTCGACGCATACCACGCGCGCAGATATAATGATATGGCGCCAAAGTGAGTCTTCACGTCTCTTATTATGTCCCTTCCTGCACGCAATCTCTATTTTCTTATAAAAACGTTGTTGTAATCATATTATAAATGAAACCGTGGATGTTGCTTAAACGGTCCCTACTTACATACTTATCACCTGCATTTCTGACAAAACGTGTTGGCAACAACGAAGCACTCGTCGGTAGCGCGTCGTGCGCGGTAGTGGCACTGCACTGTGGTGACGGCGGGACTTTGTGTTGCAGGCACTGGGAAGAGGGACCTCCCCGCTACCTCGGCTCTACTGAGTACGAGCGACCCCCACCATACTACTATCCCGGACCACAGTAAGTATAGGTCCCCGCCGCGGCGTGCAGTGGACGTGTTACATCGAGCGAGTTGTAGATGCAGTGCGGCAGGCGAGGCCGAGACTGACGTGCCGTATGTCGCAGGCGGCGCCGCGCCCGCTCGCTGGCCGGCCCCGGCTGGAGCTGGGCGCGGTACTTGGCGGACAGGTACAGTACTCGCGCCCTCTGTGCCACTGCCTCGTTGGTGTCGCTAGGCTCGCAGTCTTGTCCGCTTCGTACGGGGTACACACTCGTTGCTGTTCAGCTGGTGTGACATGACCGCTCTCTGTGTTGTATGCTGCTGTACTCATGACGTTTTAACATTTTAGTCCCAGCGTGACACGACGCACGTCGCTAAGACCTAGAGACGTAGTAGCAGCGGAGCAGGCGGCGAGTAGACCGGCGAGCAGACCGGTTGGGTTCAGCTGGGCGGAGTATTTGCGGACTAGGTATAGTCGCATCGCGGGCAGGGTCTCGCATGTCGCCAGCAGGCATTGGGCTTTGATTCAATAGGTTGTTGCGGGCGATGGCTATTTCACCATTCATAACTACTCCGTTTGACCATCAACTAGTACCGGCGATGTTACTTACACTTCTTTCTACGTTTTAGTCCGTCTACGCTGCAGTCTGCTGTAGGAGAGAGCAGCAACGGGAACTTGAACTCTGAACAAGTTTCCACTTCCAGTAGCTCGCCTCCGAGGAGATGGGCCGAGTACCTCGGGTATTAGTAGCTGTGGCGGGGTTTCATGTGCTGTGCTGTCTGCTTACTCGATGGGAATCATTTATTCGCCCTACACGCATCGTTGCTGATAAATATATAAATATAGTTCGTTGTGTAGCCTCGAATCTGGTTGGATCCATATACGGTAGGGCTACATAGATTTGTTTGTAATGTTTGCACAGCGTGGTCGGCCCAAGTCCGCCGACACAGGCCAGTAGTGGGGTGAGGAGCGAGGCGAGCAGTCCGGCGCAGCGCCCCCCCGGCAGCTGGGCGCAGTACCTGGCCGCTAGGTGCCCCTTGCTGCATGCTACCCACTACTGCTCTGTACCAGCGGCTGGTTCATGCTCACACTTGTACTCACAGTATTACTGATTGCTGCACTAGTACACGTTTACAAAATTAATAAACTTACATACAATTGACATTTTAGCCAAAGTGCGCCCCAGTTCGAGCCCATAAAGTTGAGCAATGAGGAGCAGAGATCGGCCGGCGAGGGCCCCGCCTGGAGCTGGACGCAGTACTTGAACAATAGGTACACCTGCAACCTGCAGTGTAGCATTCTGTGCCAGCTTGTATGTCCCTGCACACGCCAGCTGTTGCTGCTAAAGCAATGAGTTTGCCTACTTTGGTATCAGTACACGGGTACTCGTTTCGTTTGTGGTGTAGCGAGGTTGTCCTTGAAACCTGTAGCGCTGTTGTACGGCAGGGTCACCTGCGTGTGTGTGTGTGTGTATGTATGGTGGTGGTCGTAGGTGTGAGTGAGCGGAGTAGAGTCTGTCGTCGACGTCCAGCAGGGCGGCATCATTTGTCGTGCTCGGTGGGAATGGTTAACATTGTTTTACAGGAATATTTACTTTGTCTTTAACTGATGGTATCCTGATTAAGTACAGGTATCGCGTTGGAGTGGGGGAACTTGTTGCAACTATTAATGTGGCTAGTAACATGATTCAGTACAGCTAGACCCGTGTGTGTGCGTGCTATTGACTACTTCTTATAATAATCTTATTATTTTAATTTTCAGCGATAGACAGTAAACTGGCGCTCACAGAGCTTGACGATGATCTGCTGAAGTATTGAGGTGCCCCCCCCCCACCCCTGCTGTGAGCTGTGCCGTGTTGCAGTGGCGGACAATGTACAAGGTCTTCTTCAGACACTAGATAACATTTTGTAGTTATAAGCAAAAGATATACAGTAATGTTGCAATCTATAGTACCCACATTCTACATAGATTATTAATAATACCGCCGCCAACGAAATGTTTAACTTACACTTAACCGTCGGCTACATATACATGTGCCGACGACGGGGCGACGCCTGCAGAGGTATCTTGTTGAAGACATAGAGTAGGACTTGTGACGTACAAGTAGGCTGCAGTACTGCAAGCACTAGGGACGTGGTCCATGCTGTTACTACGTCGGCTCAACTTGATGGCGGCGGAAGCGATCTCATGGTCGTGTTGGCTTTAAATCATTTACAAAATTATTATTCTTTATGTATTGTTGAACGCGGATCACACGACCGCACAAAATGTATTTGAGTTGAAATCTAAGAGATTCAGTTTTAAGTTAGATTTTATGTAATACTATTTAATATATAATGTGTAGTAAATAAGTTGTCATGTTTCTTCGTTGGTTTACTGTACTTCAAGTGACGTGCGTGATACAATGAAGTTCTTGTGAATACGACAGACATGTATAGTAGAAGTAGGAGGCGGCGCGAGCTCGTCTTGCATTTATATTTGATATAGTATTAGTGTTAGCGTCGCGCGGCCTCTACTCGATACTCACTCCTCCCGGCCGCGCGCCGCGCCAATATTTGTATCGTAAGGGCGCCAAAGTCTGGTTATGACTTCGTTGATGTATCTCTGCTAGATTGTATTTACGAACATTTTTCCTATTCACTTTTGTAAGCTCGGTGATTTGGCGATTGCCGCGCCATTGTACACTCAGTTCGTAATGTGATGCTAGCGTAATGTCTATTGTCCTAGTGTAATTTTGTGATTATTCGACATTTATTATATTTTATTGATAAACTTTGTATTGGAGACGTTGAAGTAGTCGATTTGTTTATACTTATTGTGTCATATCGTAAGTAAGTGCCGTGTAGTGTATGTCCCGGTGTGAGAGGATGTCAAACGAAGGGATCATTGGTTATACGTCAACTCCCGCTCACTTTATTGTAGATGACTTCCTTTTGGAAACAAACTTGAGTATATACAAGTGTTAAGTTGTGCCGCTGCTCAAACTAGTGCCGAGTAACCGCGAGATGTTTATTTAGCCATTTTATATTGATTTATTGAGTCTCGGCGTACTGGATAGTCCTAGTGAATGTTAAGTTAAGCTAGATGTAATGTAATTCCAATGTAATCTTTAAACAAGTAAGGTAGTGCAACCAAAAAGTAAGGTTTTGTAAGGAAGCGCCGCAGTGAGCGATGGCTGTGCGAGGGAAGCGACTGAGACGACCGATGCGACTGCATCAAGGAATGTAACGACGAATGTAAAGTAAACATTTAACTATCCTCAGCCCCGAGTTTTATTTAACCTTACGCCATACCACGCTTTTTATCCGAAACACCCAACGTTTGGACAATCTGAACAATATCTTGCATGACTCAGGATAAGATTTGTGGAAATCAGTTTTGATTTTTTGTATACATTTTGATACTGTTCAGCTGGTGTGCAATGTTCGATTTCTTCAGAGAATGTTAAAAGGTAGTAGGTAGGCAGTGGCAACCCTTGTCAGCGTAACAAGAAATGGCAGACAGAAGCTGGACATGAAAAGGAAACAATGTGATAAAATAACCAACACTTTTATTTGACTGCGTCCGCTGAGACTGTCAACACTTAGAGTCTACTTAACAATAACTAGGCTAGTATAAATACATAGGTATAGCTAATAAATACTGTCTCGTGTGTCAAGGTACTGCGGAGATCTGAGAGATGTCGGCTCGCCGAGTGCTCTGTGGACAAAATGTAGAGTTAGTGACCGAGTGTGAGGTGTAGGAGGGCGGAGTGAGCGAGGGCAGTAAGAGGGTGACCCACAGGAGGCGGCGCGCGGGTCGTGCCTGCGCAGGAGCAGGTCGAGCTGGGCGCGCCCCGAGCAGTGCAGGAACTCGCGCGGACGCACGCCGCGGAACACCTCCGCTATGGACGGCTTCACGTTGTAGAAGATTATGGTCTGCCCGCGCGCGTGGAAGTCGTCGATCAGCGCCTTGATGCCCTGCACGCACGCGGATACACACGTTAGGCTTAACGATACATTAGAACACACGGTTATATGAGCTGCGTGGTGGTGAGTGGCAATAATGTCTACAGATGACGTCGTATGTTGGATTTCATTCGTAATTAATTTAAATAATGGTTGACAAAGAGGAGTAGTGAAGTGATTGAATAGATTGTGGTAGAAAAGGTGAAGCGAGTGTGGAGCGGTACCTTGGCGGCGGTGAAGTCAGCGGCCTGTACGTGCGTGGCGTCGAGCACGAGCGGCGTGCGCGTGTGGTGGCGCTCGGCCGCCTTGCGCAGCGCGCGCCGCACGAACTCCGCCGACGGAAACGACAGCGACCGGTCCACCACGCCCACCAGGTGCGGGACGCCGTCACTCGACTGCAGGGGGGGGGGGCAGTCCGTCACATTACTGCGCTACTGACGCACTCTACTACCGCACCACTGCGGGCTTACTTACCACGGCCGCGGTCACTTTGACGGAGGGGCGCGCGGACGCGTACAGTAGGAACACGAGGTTCACCGCGATACCAATCACGATACCCAGCTCCAGCCGCAGCATGAGGCACGTCACGAACGTCACCACGGCAGGGATCAGGTCCAACTCTGTTGATAATCATTCGGTTCGTGAACAAAGCGGTGTAACGTGCGCTTCATTTGCACAAATAATCATATGATATCCTACACATAACAAAACACAAGCAAACTAGTTACACACTTTTAGTTCTCCAGATAGGTTTGAAGACGTGCAGCTCCATCATGAAGACGACCGCGGCGATGATGACGGCTGCTAGCGACGCTTTCGGAATGTAGTAGAAGTACGGCGTGAAATACTGCGGGAATAAGGAGATATGTGAACGTGGGGACACGTAACCGGGCACCACGAGAGTGCGGAGTGCGGCGGAGGGCCAGGTACCTGCAGCGAGAGCAGCACGAGCGCGCCGGTGTAGAGTCCGCCGGCGGTGGTGGCGACGCCGCTGGCGTGGTTGACGGCGCCGCGGGACAGCGCGCCCGACACCGGCATCGAGTGCACCAGCGACGACACCACGTTGCACACGCCCAGCGCCACCATCTCCTGCGTCGCGTCCACGTACTTGCCCTCCGCTGCCATGCCATACACGTTACATTGCGCTCCATGTTTATACCACAATAATCTAGTATCGGAATTTTAAGTGCCTTGGATACAAGTCGGTATTGCTGTACCGTTAAATCAAAATTTTACACTGCTTCAATGCCTTCTTAGTGTGTGACTTTACTCATGGCAATAACTGCTGAAACTTTCAAAGTCAAAACGTTTATTGCAAACTAAGTGTAGGTACAATGTTGGTGTTGCATTAGGGTAAAGCACTTAAGGCTTAGCATCCTTTTACAAGCAAATCAGTATAATTATCATCCTCAATCAACATGAATTAAACATTTTTATTATTTAATTAAAATATTTTAGTAATTGCAAAATCAAATGTCAACTTGGTCAATTTAATACAGTAATTCATCAATGTTCATGTCACGGATACAAATTCAATAAAAATAATATAGATTTATGTCAAAGTGAAATGTCAAAATAATTAATTTAAACAATATTTATGTCATAACAGTACAAATGCACCAATATTAATAGGATAGACTGAATTTCATGTCTGCATAGACAGGTCGCCACTTTGGTATAGAGAAATAAAACAAAAAACTTTATTATAAGGCATAAGCTCGACTCCAAAAACTCTTTTACTGAGTAATAACATTTTTGGATTAGGATAAGTTTTAACTTTCTTTGAAATGTTGTTTCCGATTTTTCAGTTTTTAACGTGTCGAGTATTTTATTATATATTTTCATTGCCATATAATATGGACTATTGCGTAACATTTTAATCCTTTTGTGTTACACTTTTGTGTCACATTAAAATAATGTATTCCTATTTTGATCGTTCAAGAAATATAAAGCTTGATCTTAATGAAGTTATGACGGAACCATTGGTAGGTTGGACTGTAACTCACAGAAAACTTTAGCGAGAGCAATGTTCTCGAGTATGGACAAGAGTGGCACGACGAATATCGCGGAGCCGAGCGTGGACGCCATCTCCGAGAAGGTGTAGGTGTGGTTGCCCACCGTCGCCGAGAACGGGGGCGCCGACAGCTCGGGCAGGCCGGGCTTCACCTCGCCTGCAACAATACACCACTCACGATGGTAACTCGTCTCCTCTGGTCGGGACTTACAGCGAACACCCATGGCTGTTGCTGACCAGCTGCCTTAAATCTGACCAGCAATATGATGGTGCCATTAAAGTTAGTATACTTTGTTTGAGGCAAAAATTGAATCTCATTAAGCAGTAGTTGGTATAATTAGATTTACAAGGCAGTGCGTGAGTGTGACCTGTGAGCACGAAGGGCGCCTTCCTCTGTGTGTCGAAGTAGTAGGCGAGCGCGGCGCAGACGAGCACGACGAGGATGTTGCGCGTGGTGGACAGGAACCACAGCGCGTGCGCCGCCGCGCGCCGCGCCCGCGACTGCGCCCCGCCCGCGCCGCCGCACTCCGGGTCCGGCTTCGGGCTCACCTTTATGTCCTTCACTTTCTGCAAACATACAGATCAGGTCACGGTTATTTCTTCTCTAAAACGATTTAGCCTAATCTTACTTAACAATTACTTAATTATTTTACTAAAGTTGAAATCGTTTTTTATTTCAACCTACAGGCACATTTGAACGTCAAGCAAAGCATAAAAAAACAGTTTGTCAGTAGGTCCCTACTCTTAGTGAAGCTATTTTCTATTTACAAAGTGCAGATTCCGATGGAAAAGAATGTGCAAGAAACTTGAGACAACTAGATATTATTTCGATAAGAGCCTTACAAAATAAATGCTTTACTAGCTACCAATTTTTTGAATTAGAATCACAAGTTTATGTGATGCAAAGAAATTAATAACTTGCCACCCATTTCCTTGCTTACTTTTTATTTCTCTACTTCCGATTTCTGAACAACTAAACACTAGAGTAAGCAATAAGACATAGAGCACGCACCCTGAGCAGTAGCAGCACTATGATGCAGGAGACGCCGAGCACGGTGTCCCACAGCCGCGTCTCCCCGATGTGCTCGTACAGCCCCGTCCACACCTGCCACATGTACATACGTAGGTACAAACACTCAACGTATTGCATATATTCAACCACTTATCAAACGGCAGCTTATAAAATTATTGTATATAGTTCTCGCATCTATGTATAAGATAAAATGTAAAGCGGAAAGAAAATAGTAAAAGCAAAACTCAAGAACACTTGGACCAATTTTGTCAATATTTATAAGCCGCCTAAGCTATCGCATTGGAGAAATCTGTAATGGTAGTTTAAGGTAAGATTTTCAATAAATAAATAAAGAAATAAATTATCTTGTTCTATTCGCTATAGTCCGGATAAGGTTGTTCTGAAAGACAATTTTAGAAAGAAAAAGAGGTAAAAACGGGATTTCGGTTGGATACCCGTGAGAAGCAGGGGGCGCGCCGCGTCACCTAATCCATCAATTCTTCCTAGGAAAACTTAACAGTTAGGTATAAATATTGAAATCGATTTCCCAGTAACATGTTTTTTGGTTGAAAAGTGTCTGGGCGACCTGCTGCCCAGCGTTTAGCTAATTTGATTCTCACACGAGACAACTCTATGTGTAGCATAACTAATTCTAGGTTTGTATGTGAACTAAATATTTGTAATTGCAAGTATAACACAAAATAACTCTTAATGTAGCCTTATTTTTTAGGAAATAAAAAATACTTAGAATCTCGTGTTTAAAACTTGGAGTTGCCGTTTGTATGCTATACCAATTCTAAACTCTATAAACTAAAGAAAAAGTATCAAAAGAAATTGTGAGCAAGTTATACAGATTTTTATGCTGAATATTTTGTAGTTATATTGTGTGTTTCACAGTTTGGGAGAGCTATGCTTCGGCACTTCCTAAATCTCCAAATCCCTAATCCCTAAAAGGTCGGCAACGCATTCGTAACTCCCCCGTTGCGGGTGTCCATGGGCGGCGCTGATTGCTTACCATTAGGTGATCCGTTTGCTCGTTTACCGATCAATTATACTTATAAAAAAATAAAGGTACATATATCGTAGCCTGTCTAGAAGGTCGATAGAAAGTGTTGTAGCGGCGCTGTCGACTAGACTCCCGCAAAAATAGAATAATTTTGATAGAAACCAATTCTAACTATTCATTAATAAAACGAAATTACTGGCAAAACTTTTTTGAGTTACCTATATTTAAATATATCATTACAACGTAAGTTTGGTATTACACAGGAATCCTCATACAATGCAAT